GTAGCAGAGATCACCAATGCCTGCTTTGAGCCAGCCAACCAGATGGTGAAATGCGACCCTCGCCATGGTAAATACATGGCTTGCTGCCTGCTGTACCGTGGTGATGTGGTTCCCAAAGATGTCAATGCTGCTATTGCCACCATCAAGACCAAGCGTAGTATCCAGTTTGTGGATTGGTGCCCCACTGGCTTCAAGGTTGGCATTAATTACCAGCCTCCCACTGTGGTACCTGGTGGGGACCTGGCCAAGGTCCAGAGGGCTGTGTGCATGCTGAGCAACACCACAGCCATCGCTGAGGCCTGGGCTCGCCTAGATCACAAGTTTGATCTGATGTACGCCAAGCGTGCCTTTGTGCACTGGTATGTGGGTGAGGGCATGGAGGAGGGGGAGTTCTCTGAGGCCCGGGAGGACATGGCTGCCCTGGAGAAGGATTATGAGGAAGTGGGTGTGGATTCTGTTGAAGGAGAAGGTGAGGAGGAAGGAGAGGAATACTAAATTAAATGTCATGAAGGTGCTGCTTTTACAGGGAAGTTATTCTGTTCCGACATAGAAAGTTGTGGTCTGATCAGTTAATTTGTATGTGGCAATGTGTGCTCTCATACAGTTACTGACTTATGCTTTAAACGTGAATGATTTGTCATAGACCCAAGCTGTCCATCTCACTGATGGGTTTTAAATAAAACATTCCCTGTCTTAAAAGTTGTCTTGTGTTTATATTTGGGTGTGTCCTAGTTTTCCTTCTTTTACTGAGATAAACCTCCTGACCAAAAGTAATTTGGGGATAAAAGGGTTTACTGTCCATCATCAGGGGAAACTGAGGCAGGATCTGAAGCACAGGCAGTGAAGGAATGCTGATTACTAGCACTCCATTGTTCTGCTTGCCCTTCAATGGGACCCGGGACCACCTGCTCAGGGCTGGCACCGCCCACAGAGCCACACCCATAGTAATCAAGAAGATGCCCCCAAAGACTTGCTTGGAGCCTCTCTGACAGAGGCATTCTCTCTTCCTATATGACTCCATATTGTGTGAAGTTGATAACCACCACAGGGTATGAAAATCCAGTACTCAAGAAAGAATAATGAAGAACAGAAAGATTTGCTGGTGTAGGCCTGCAGTATCAACACTTGGGAGGCAGAGGCAGGGGGACTAAATGGTCATCTACTGTATAACAAACTGCAGGCCAGCTTGAGCTACATGAGAGTTTAGAAAAAAAAAAAAAAAAAGGTTGGAAAATAAAATGCATAATTACATAAAGATAACTTTTAAAAATAAGTGAGATGTGGTGGTGTACGCCTTTAATCCCAACACTCAGGAGGCAGAAGCTGATGGATCTCTTGAGTTTGAGGACAGCTTAGTCTGCCTAGCAGGTTCCAGGCCATCCAGGGCTGCAAATAAGACCAGGCCACTAAATATTTAAATAATAGAACTGTTGCTAGTAGCTTATGTATATGCTATAGTTATGTTTTAAGTTCTCTTAATATAAAGTATATGTGTAGGATTACCACTAGAAGGAAAACAAAGGAAATGTGTGATGGGGAACAGGACAGTGAGGAGAATGAGAACACAGTGGAGTAGTACATAAGGATGAAAAAGCCATCATACAGGAGATTTCGGTGAGTTCAAGGCCAACCTGGTCTACAAAGCAAGTCTCAGGACAGCCAGGGCTGTTACACAGAGAAACCTTGCCTGGGGGGTTGCAGGGGGGGGCGGGAGAGTAGAGAAGAAAGAGAAAGAAAAGGAGGAAGAAAAAAGAAAGGAAGAAAGCAAGAAAGGGCATCATAAAGATTAAAGATTACACTAAAAATAAAACACTTTTCAGTATTTACATTTTCACTTCACTAAAGTCACTTAACCTGGCAGTTTGCTTTGCTTCGTCTTTTTCTTTAATTTTATTTCGTATACATTGGTGTTTTGTCTGAAGATCTGTCTGTGAGGGCATTAGATCCCCAGGAACAGGAGTACAGACAGTTGTGAGCTGCCACGTGGGTTCTGGGAATTGAACCCGGGTCCTCTGGAAGAGCAGCCAGTGCTCTCAACCGCTGAGCCTTTTCTCCAGCTCCTGTTTTGTTTTTTCTAACAGGCCGTTCTAGGTAGCACAGGCTGTCCTTGAACTCTATGTCTGGATGTCTCAGGCTCCCTAAAGCACTACCAAGCAGTAACTTTCTGAGTTGAAAGCCGCTAATTTACAGTCACAGTGTTTGGTTAACTGCTGGCCTTATGCCGCTAACAGATAAAATGGTGACTTTTGTAAATGTGTCCTCCGGTTTTAGAAGCTGCTCTCCAGGCTCTCTTTTCTAGGCTCCCCAGACTCCTCAGCATGTGTCTAGTGCCACAAGCTCCGGCTGCCCAAATTTCCCAAAAGACGCCTGTTCTCCAAGCAAGTGCCTCCTACGTTTGACCTAGGTCTTTAATCTTTTTTGCTAAACCCATCTCTAGCTGAATGCCATGTTGAAACCCTAATGAATCTATTCAATCTAATGTTAATTAAACCTGAAT